GTAAATTTTGTTGCCGCCAAAATTTTAATGTGTCAGAAAGTATAGCGGTGATGAAAGATTGCCCCAATAGAGATCTCAAAAGTAGAATTGATATTGACCGATATAAAATCAGTCATCTGTCTCGGTGTTGATAGATCACGGGTAGACACTATGTTTATTTTGTCAGCAGCCATAATATTACATGTAACCTTGTAAATAATAAAATTATTGGACATGAAGCTGGATAGTATGAAAAAGCTTTACTTGTCAGACTTTTTTATTTTGTACATATACCGAATGTTCCGGATTCACTAAGTATGGCAGCTTTCTATATGTAAAACATTTGTATTAAGACAAATTACCACATTGCCTCTGTTAATTAACATTAATGTCAAAGTAAACCGAAACATTTCCCATCAATTCACAGTTTAGTTTACCAGTTCACCGGGTGTAAGATCTTGGCATTAAATGTTTCCTTTCCTTTATACAGTGTATATCCTTTATACATGCCTGTCCTGCATCAATATTGGCAGATTTTATCTATTGCAACTATTTCTATGAATCATTAGAAATATTTTGTAGGTGTTTTGATAGTTATGCCAAATCCCCAGCTTCACAAACAGTAAACATATGATTATAAAGAATTGGATAGATCTGGAGCTATAATTGACCAATGGATTTTGTTGTTGTTGTTTTATATTATGTATTATATTAATAGATGGACTACATCTGTACTAGATGACAAAAATATTCCTTGATCATAACTACAATATATAGGCAGTCATAAAATAATACTCTTGCAGAGAGCAGTAATCTATGACTATACACCCTAACACTGTAAATGCTCCGAAAATCTCAAAAAATTTAGCCGACTTTTTAAAGTGTTAGCCTTTTAAAATAAGCTATGTACAAAAGTGTATTGTTGAAATTTGGAAATAAGATGGTCTGCATTTTGTCAAGTCAAAAGCAAAATATATATATGTTTACAAATTTAGCAATAGCAGTGTGAATTTTTATTTTGTTGTGAAGTGGATTTATTGTACTTCAGTTTTAGATTTTCAATATTTGTTGTAATTTGAAAAATAGTACTGCAGTTGGTCTTCAGCTCATGTAATACACAAACACACTGAAAATAAACTCAAAGAGTCATGAAATCACAGAACTACTAAAAAAATGACAGTAGCTTACAACTTTTCAAGGTTACAGGGATCAAGTACATCAAAACTTTCAATAAAATTGTTTGAGAATACCAATAAGTCTAGAGATATATTTCTTTGGTACCTTTCTTGAAAGGATTCAAACAAAATTTGCAAATAGAAATTACCTTGACCTACTTTCAAGGTCACAGGGGTCTAATATGTGATGATATTAAAAATAGTTCTCCTGGAATATTGAAAGGCCTAGAGGCATGATATTTGGCTGAAGGCTTCCTGGGAAGAAATGAAGTACACTTTGTGAATATCAATTACCTTGACCTATTTTCAAGGCCACAAGGGTCACAAAGTATTGCTTCATATACAAAATTCATTATATTGAAATACATTTTCAAAGTAAAAGGGAGTTTAATGAATATTTTGTTTCATGCAAGGTGTGATGTGTAAAATATTCAACTGGATGTTCTTTGAATACTTTTTGATTGGAAATCTGTAGATGCGAGTGGTGTGGAAATGATACAGAAACACTACAGAAATGCTACACATAAACTGTAAGAGGAGATTTGTTAGGGTCTGTATATTTTCTCTCCTATTCCAGGAATTTTGTATATATAAAATGTACAAATTCACTTCCTTTGGAGGGATATTTTATCTGTGAAAATTCTCTGTATAACAGGAATTGTAGCCATTCTGTATATAATGGATAACACTGTGGTCTTCTTTGCACTTGATCTGAACTGTAAAGTGTACTATATAAATGTAAGTTAACAACATGACATATTTTATATATATGTATACAAGTAAGAGGAAGTGTTCCAAAATCTCTGGCTTCATTCATCAACTCTGTGTGAATGCCTTGAGATATTCTACCATTGTTAGAGTTAGGTAATGTGGGATCAACAGTGTTATGGATGTTGGTAATTTGCTCTGCAGCCAGTATTTTGTTGATAAATGTGAAGACTGGTGGTGTTGTGTCAGGCATGCCTGGATTGCTAGTACTGCATACACAGTGTGTCAGATGGCTAGTCTCTATGGGAAAGGCTTCAAATATTTGATAAGATATATACATTATGTTGCATCACTGAGAAGGAAGGTATACACTTAACAGTTCATTATGATGAGTATTAGTTCTCTAAGGGCTTTGAAGCATCTTAAGTTTCACTGATTTGAAAGGTTGTTCATCTGATGATTAAGTGTCTGTCCTCTTTCCACCTAGTACTTCTTGTCTAGTATACATGTAAGGCTGCAGATCGAGAATCTAGACCAACCTTTGCAGACAGGTGACCAGTTTCTTGTTAAATAATGCGTCATAGTGTATCTTTTCCATTCATGATTTGGACCTTTTTCATTTGCAAATGTCTGGATGATCCTTATTGAGTCATCTTGTTATGTCCATTACCAACAGCCATCTTGAAAAATACTTTTTACAAGTCTGCTTCAGCTCCAATTGTTTCTTTGAGCTGATAATTGGTAGAAATCTTAATTAGGAAAATAAACCAACACACAAAGTGCTTAAAGCATTGACACATCAGTCACAATGGTCATTTTTTAATGACTGAAAGTTGAAAGAATTACCTAGTGGAAAGACTGACTCGTTGAAAGTGAATCACATTTCTGGTATGAAAATGATGCATCATTCTTGATCACTTAGCCCTGTCTATGTATCCAATTTAAAACATTAAATGGATGTAGTTATAGAAATCTTCATACCTTAAAATTGGAACTAATATGTTTATAAGCTGTAAGTTTGCTGGATGTTCTAACATTAATGTTATCATTGACTGAAACTGATGGGTCTTGAATATGTAGTGATGTTTTTACTTTCTGATAGTCACGTGTTGTGCACACTCTCTGAATAGCGGTAGTGGATTTTTGTGAAATGTGATATTTTATTGATAATGTAATTGATGTTTGATGATGTTAGATCACCAGATAGGATTTGATTGACACAAATCATTTCTTATCTGTATCAGAAGGAATTGATTTGTTCAGCAAAATTGTTTTTTAGTGTGAAACATAAAAACCCACTTCATGTTATTTGGCAATGTTTGTTTTTCTGAAATGATATTGTATGCATAATTTATTCTTAGATATCTTGTAAACCTGACAAAATATTTCAGCTGGAGAAGAACGTTATGTCTTTATAAACTTCTAACAAGTTACAATCCAGTAACAGAGCCGTCCGGTTAAATGATTGAACAACAATCCTGCCAGGAAGTGTCCTTATACACCAGTCATTCATATTGTCATATAAGCTGTGTTTTATACAGACTAATACTGTAATTATTCAGACATAGATCACTTCTTATTAAGTCATTTTCAACCTTGAGATCTTGATATCCCAGGAAGGTGGTGATTTTTGTGAACACATTTACGCATCTTAGCCGACTAATAATGCTAATCATATACTTTATAGCACTATTCATAACACCTGATTGCCCTGGATTTGGCCCCAGTGATATAGTTCCCTCTTAATCGTCCCAAACCTGACAGCATGGCAGAAATATTGAATACAGGACATCTCATGGCAGTTTTAGATATCATCACACCACAAGAGAAATTTCATCGGAACATAAATCCTTCAGGAAGACTGTGTTAACAGCCACTTACAGACTGAACAATGTTTAATACTAGATTGAACAGTTATAAAGTTATCATGCTAAAGATTCCAGGTATCATCATATTTATGATAAATTCCTATCTTCATCTTGATATCTTGATATGATTTGTATCTCATTGTGTAATATCAGTACAATGAAATTACAGTGACATATGTCCTTTCTTAAAGTAAACACCAAGTGGCATCAAAGAAGAACACAGTAGTTGTGTGATAGAATAGTAATATAACTTTAATTAAAATCTGGAGACATTCAGACTCTGAAAGATGTGCCATTAAATTAGGTGCAGTATTTGTAATAAATAACTAGATCTGTTTACTGCTGTTTCATCTTTTAATTAGAGCTGATGACCTTAATTTACTTGGAGTATTTGTGCTTTGTTACGCCAAACACATTAGTCAGAGAGTGAACTTATTGTAGGTACATGTAATATATGTGGATGGGCTTACATAATTACACATATTTCCTAGCATGGGCTTTATTACTCTGTAGATACACCTTGTATCTTAACGTATTTAATTCTTGGCTTATGAGCACATTACGATCATGATCATGTTAGTTGATCCAACAGGTATTCATTTGACAATATTGTTTACCTTCATACATAAAACTTATGCCAGAATAAGATAACTTATTAATTTTAACTCAAATTTAATGAAACTAGTACAAAATAAGAACAAAAGATTGATTCACACTTAGCTTCAGAAAAAAGTACAAGGAAAATAAGAACAGTTGTTTTTGAAGGGTATATGATTTTTGTTCCGTTGACGACACCAGCGATATGTAAATCTTGATCTGTCTAAGTAAGTGATATGTTTTTATTACCATATAAGAACAAGGGGAAAAACAACAGAACCACTAGATATAATAATGATCATAAAAAATGATTCCAACATGAAGGAAACAACCTGCAGACTCTCCAGAACGGAACCAAGTTCTTATATATCCAATCAGATGCAACTTGTAGATGCCATTAAGGTTGGAGATGCAGGGTTGTCTCTCTTCAGAAATGGAAAATTAAAAACAGGATGATTGAAATCATCAGGCTTTTCAAACAGTACGGTGAAAGACTGGCTCTGATGGTTTTCATTGTAGGAAAAGGTTTAACATTTAGAGACAGGTGTAATTTAGAATTATTCTACCACATGCACAAAATAAAATATTGTGTGTATTTTGAAGCATTTAGAAATGCATTGGTGTACATTGTATTCATATCTGTGGATTAACGTTTCTTTAATGACTGTTTCAGCTGACATATATGAATTATTGGAGCCAATCATTGAAGAGAAAGGTTTGGATTGTGAATGTGTGGGTGGTGGAAGGATAGAACATGATGCTAGCTCCAAAAAAATAAAGATTTATGGATATTCACAGGTAGGTACACTGATACACGTGTATTACTACACTAAAAGATGTGCTGTCATCAGACTTAATTACATGTTTTGTTATTGCACAAAATATGACCTAGTGGAGCTATGAATGTGGTGTCAGTGCTCCATGGTATCTAGTGCATTTTGAATTTGAAAAAAAATTGGAAGAATATCAGCATTGAAGACCTTCTCTCAGTCTGTAAAATGTTGTTTTGATAGAACATTGTAATTAATCTATTTGGTAAACACAATTTTACAACCTTTTCCATTTCAATAATGTTGTTTAAACTACTTATGAATCTTACCTCACCTGTCAGGCTTAATTATAAACTGAAAAATTCTCAGAATGATATTTCATAAATTTCATACAAATGAAAGCTCTATTTTTATAAGTAACACATTTTATCAGATTGTAAATAATTGTGCGATTACTGTTTATGATTTAGATATACATTAATATAGAAAAGATATAGAATAAATTACAGATGCAGTTTTATACCACACTGGTTACTGGTGATTGTTAGCCATGCCCAGATGCTACAGTGGATTTCCTAGGAGATTCAGACAGTTGTACAATATATAGTGGAATGTAGATGTCTGAATGACGTAGATAAACATAAACTAAGCGTTCCATTCAAAAATATCTCTATCAGATCTGAAGCACAGATTGCATAATAATATGTTCATCTTGTGCCAAATTCCTGTATTTTCACAGCTGGAATAACATTTGTCTTATCTATACGGTTGTGTTCAGCAGATTAGTTAAGTACTCAAGACAAGGAATTAACTGCCTCCCTGGTAATATTAAGACTGTTAATATGAATCAGCACTACATTGATAATTAATATGCTTTGAGTCATTTGATATTCTGATACTTTTCACATTAGTATAAAATAAAATCGAGCAATTTACTGCAGTTTACTGCTGGAAATCATCTTGATTGCAGTAAAGCAATATGATAAATAGAGGATCTTACGTAAGTGTCTATGTAATAGGAAATTTATTAAACAAACGTGACATATCAAATCATTGAACACGTTGAACAAATTCTATATAACATCAGTTTGTAAGATCATATTCATCATATAGTCTGTATTTTTTTAGAATAAGCAAAACTCTCAAATAGACAAACTCATTTCGACAGGGTTGGTACATTTTTTACCACTGAGGCGATCATGTGACATGATGTTATCATGATATTACAATAGTATTATTACACACAGTTATGATATTTATGACATTGTCATACAACATGCTACAAAAGGCCAATGTGTGATGATAAATTGTAGTAAATATGATCCAATAGAGCAGTATATCTTGGAAACAAAGTCTATTATGGCATTGTCATTGTACTGGAGTCAATAGATATATGTTATAATGATCAAAATGTTCAGAAAGATGGAACAAGTGTACAGACAGAAAGGCTAATGCTTGTCATCATGTTGGGTTCTGTTCACTGGAATATCATGAGCTTCTAATGTCACTGTGGTTAGAATAAAATTACTGTAAAATTTTGTTAAGGTAGATGACTTCTGGTTGAAATCAAAATTTACTGTAGATTGTAGTTAATGTAGTATAAATACATTTTGAATCCACAATGCCTCTAATGAAGTGATACAGATATTTCACAATGCTAACTTATTCTATTAAAGAAAACATTAAATGAAAGTAGAAAGACTAGATCTTTTGTTACATTTTTAAAAGGTCACATTATGGTTAAATTAATGATATCTTGATTTAATTGATTGTTAATGTATATAATAAAGTTCAAATAATGATGCATCTGTTGACACGTGTACATCCAAAACAGGTATTCATTCATAGGCTTAGCAACCCAAATCATGACATTTCGAATTTAAGAAAACAATTGGGATTTTTAATCTGAACCTTTGCAGAAAGAAAAGGAGATGCAGTTTTAAAAGGATTAGAATATTTTTATGATAAAGAAAAACACAGATGCAATTAAAAAACTGATAATTATTTTGCAGGCCTATGGAAAAGCTGACCACACTGTTACCTACTTAATGCTTCAAAGGAAGTATGGCAGTGACTACAATGTCACATTCAACAATGATGGCTACTAGAGGCTTCACATCATATTCCACATTTTGACCCGATTCTGGAGGAGTACACATTATATTAGGCCTAAAATTGGTACTGTGAGCCTTTGTTGTCAAACACCACTCAGCATTATAAGATCTGGAGGTGATAAGCTTTAAATACTACAAGTGTGGTGAAATGACTGGAGGTGATTGACTTCTGGAACAGGATTGCATGTAGTACCACATTTAAAATTAAATTAGAGATTGTTAAACATTTAACTTGCATGAAATTAATGTGACTGCCATTATGTATATGCTTGACTATCCTGAATCACATTGTCACATCAGTACCATATCTACTTACAGTCACCATGGTAACCTGGTATGACAACATCTATCAACAGTCACCATGGTAACATTCTGTGACCATGTATACCTATGGTCACCATGGTAACCTGGTGTGATCCTGTCTTCTTACAGTCACCAGGGTTACCTGGTGTGATCACGTCTATCTAGTCATTATGGTAACCTGGTGTGACCATATCTACCTAGTTATTATGGCAACCTAGTGTGACCATATCTACCTACAATCACCATGGTAACCTGGTGAGACCATGTGTGTTGTAGAGATACTATCATTTCATGATGTTACTACTGTAGAATTAATATAGTAATGTCATATGACAATGATAGCCTACTGCAGATTTGCTATGGCAACCTTATTTTACAAGAACTACCCACATAAAATCTACATGTCACGGCAGATACTTATAATTTTAAAACAAACTGAAGGTCATCAAGTATATTTTGTACAAAACAAATACATGTTTATTTGAATTGTGTTGAATAGTGTTTTGCATGTTCTTTGTTTCTTTTTATGAATTGATATAATGAAGAAATTAATTTTAGTATTTTTCATCTTTCAAAACCAATTTAGGATTTTTTCGTGGTATTATGTGTAAATCTACCAATTTATGTTCACTATACAATCAAATAGCACAAAGTCACTTGCCAAAAAGAAATGTGTTCATGATTTTTACAAAGGTTAGAAAATGCATCTAATATTGTAAATGTTTGTTTGATCTACCAAATAAATTTTCATTTGTGGTGGTAATTTACATCATATGGTAAACATTTTCTGATGTATTGTACAGAATTTTAGTTCACGTGAAATGCTAATTATTGTTGGTATTTGTATTTAATATTTATAGTTGAAAACAGAATCGTATTTACTTGAAGTGGTTGTAGTAACCATTTTATTTGAACGTGATGAATGAATATCTGGTAAAAATGTGCCTTCATTTTTGTTTTCAAGTTTCCATAACTGTTTTTGTGGAAAGACATTTTTTTCTTTTCTTTTTTTTTGGCAATGTTTGTTATGTGGTTGAATTTAGTGCTAAATCAGACAAGTTTAAAAAAATCTATCCTGAGACATAAGCCAAAGATTATCAAATTAATTTAAAATTATGTCACACTCTGTACATACATGTGTCTTTTGAATATAATAAAAGCTTTCTATTGTATTATGATATTTGTCAGGTTAGAGGAAGTCAGCTACCAGATGCCTTAAGCACTGTAAGCTATTGTTGTCACTTTGGATTGTGCTGGTACTGATAATAATGGGTTGTATTGATTGAACTTATAAATTACAAACAATCAATAAATAGTTCAACTTTGTTGTTTTTAGTGTACTTTAGTTTATCAATGTAAAATAATATGCATTTTATCAATGTAGCAAAATTTCTCTTACTTGTGAGTTTTGGTAAATTAATGCTGTTTCACACTAGAGTATATGAGGTACTGTTTTAACCTGGTATAATGAAATCTACCAGAGGACATTTTACTTGCAGCTGATTACAAATCAATTACAGAAAGAAATGTTTCACTTTGAAGACAATGAACTTTATATATATCATGATAATTATACTTTCAGCATTAATAAAGAAAGATGCAAAATTTTGGCCGTCCTTTTATCATCACTTGCACCTAATAATGTGTGTGTTAAGGCCGTCCATTTGGTGGAAACTTGAAAGCAACAGGATATTTTCATTGTATGTGTTGAAAAAATAAATTATGTCGTATCTAGTGGTTTTCTTTGTTTCATTTTCAATGTGGTGATGATTCTCTATGTTTAGAAGGTATGTCTCCTACATTTCTAAAAAAGAAAACAATATTTTGTATGTAAGGATTGTCCTGATAAATAAACGATTAACTAAGTATCCAGACAGTATCCATGTCCGGAAAAAAATCACTCAGTTCAGCAGCATAAAGTGCGAATGTAACAATGAGTTGGCCCTGCTCTAGATCTGATCCCATATAAAGAAATATGTTAATATGAAAGTTAACAAAAAAAAAAAGATATATAAAAGTCAAAAATTTGAAACTGAGTGGCGTCAAAAACCAGGATTTCAGTCAATTAACAAAGAAAAGGAGATAAATGTTGGTGTGCAGTGTCTCATGACAAACCTACAAGAATGTGTGTATGTTTTATGATGAAATTACATTGTTCTAGTGAAATATATCTGTAACTGATCACAAGGCCATGGGATATCAGCTACAGGTAAAGACCTATAAGTAAAATCAACAGAACATAACATAACCATAACAATTATCAGAAACAAAAATATACAAAAAAAAAAGAAAAGAGGATTGAAGAATGTGTCATGAAAATGCTATTGAAGATCACAAACCTCTGATAAAATCATACAAATCAAACAGAAAATACATCTGGATAAACTCCACAGCAATCCTATTTAAAAGCAAACGGAATATTATTGAAATTTTGTGATAGTTGAAATGTCAAATCTGCCAAATGATAATGAGGATCAAAATGTAATACATATTACAACACCTATGGAAATTTCTGTGAACTTTTAATTTGAAGGATGATATTTAGAGAGATAAAAATGAATGTACAATACAAATATTTGTACTCTTCACTTCATGAACATTACATGGGGATGCCATCTTCAAGAAAGCGATTTCCAAACGAGAGCTACTATGTAGACATATTATGTCTCGCTCACCTCAATCATGTTTAGAGGTACAAGTTACAACAAAGAGTCAATAAATATGGAACCCCTCATCAAAAATCTAATGGAACGGGATGTGGTCTGAAAATTGATATAAGGACGGACAAAGAAAGTAAACATACAATGTACCAGACACTCCATATAGTCTCAAATCCAGGAGCCAAGGAAAGTGCTAAGGTTTACTATAAAGTGATTGAAAATTTTCCGTACATATTTATATTTAATAATTCATTTAGAAGATGCAGACCATATCACCTGTTGAAATTGTTGAAAAAGCTAGGATCGCCTGATATTTCTTTACTTTTGATCAATTTTTGAGAAATTTAAAAATCAGTTTGTCAAAATAATGTTAAAATGTATCATAGAGAATCATATAAATACATACAAATGAGATAGCAATACAATGCAGTTGATTATAAGGTCGTTTTCCTTTAAAACCTTTAAGGCTCCCTTGGAACTTATTTCAATCACATTTTGTGCAAAGGGCAGTAACTCCTATAAGATAGAGACACGTGTTGAAATAATTCCCAAAATCTTATAAGATAACCACCAGTTTTCGTTAATCAGATTAAGACCATACTTTCCGATCCCATGGTCTCGCAAGCCCCAACAATGTGACCTTCTGATAAGAAAGGTAACAACATTTAAACTACGGACACATAGTTAGCCACGATGACCAGCTAGTATCTACGGCCACGATGACCACAAACTGGTAAAGTTAGTGCGAAGTCGTATGCTTCGTCTCCCGTAGTAAATACAATTCCAGGAGGCCATTTCTGGGTAAGGTCTTTGCAAACTATTTTACTATTGACAACTCGCTTATCGTTAATTCACGTGAGTAACCGTAAAACTTGCAACATTAGTGTCACTCGAATTTGCAACAGTGCTTATTAAACATACTGCTGATTACGTAGTTTGTTACAGAAATTATCGTTTTTACTTACGATATACGTTTAAAAAATTTTCATGATAGAACAAATATGTAATCTGCTACATGTGTCAGTTGATTATGTTGAATATTTTTCTTTGTTTTAGCATTTCAACTATTTTCTGAAACGGTTTTCGACGACAGCTGTAATAAAAGGCATCGCCATGAATTTCTAACAACTGCAATAAGTGTTCAACGAATTCAATCTCTATACAGAATTAAAAAGCGACATGGCGACATTTACAACACTGGACTATTTCCTATTTGTGGCAGTACTTCTCGTATCCTTCTTCATAGGACTCTATTATATGTTAAAAGAAAAACTAGCAAAACAGCAAGCTACTTCAGACGATATTTTAATGGGAGGACGAGAAATGCCAGTATTTCCAGTAGCTATGTCTCTGGTGGCAAGTTACATGTCGGCGATAACCGTTTTGGGAACTCCTACAGAGATGTACGTGTTCGGAACACAATATTACATGGTGGCATTTTCCGGGTTATTGACGTACCCAGTCACGTGTTTTGTATTCCTACCATTCTTTCATAACTTGGGACTAACCAGTGCATACCAGGTAAAATCACTGCTACTGTGTTTATAAAGAACTACGTAACTTGTATTTTTTTTTTTTTTTTTTTTTAGATTATCTTGTCCTCTTCTTCATTTATAGTCTTAAATTGTTCGATTCCAATGTTTCTATTCCTGTTTTCTTATTTTAGTTTTATTACGCAGAAAATTCGTAATTCTCTCTCCACATTTTCTAATATTGATACTGCCGTTGTTCTGTCTGATATTGTACCATTTATAAATAACCAGACAGGAATTTCCGATTTTACGTTTAGGCTCGTTTAGCTTTTAAATGTTTGTAGATTCGATGCCACGTTCTTTTTGGTTTCAAAAGAAACATCTCAAATAATGTTATTGTCAAAATGACGAAATTTTCATCAGCTGGTGATACAAGTACATTTGTTGGTTGAGCTTGTATTTCAAAAATCACCACCCCGAATCAGGAAATAAACAAGGTAATTACGACATGTGTTTGAAGTTCTTCGGAACAGGACCGACAACATTTTTAAAAAATATGTTATTGTAATAGGTCTTCAGGAACACGGTTTGTTAGGAGCTGGAGAACACCAACGTTGAGTGTGGAATTAATCCGAAAAATAATACATGTAGTTCGTAATAAGAATCCGTAACGATATCAAAGTGCTGTTTGAGTATTAATACATATGATCTATATTGTAAAACGCTACCGTCAACGGATAAACGACTTCTTAAATCTGATGAAAAGCTGTTTTGAAACTTTGAACATGATTTCATTCAACAATATATCATAATAAGATACTTCACTTCTTTCCTTAATGTGAAGAGAATTAAAAACAATTGTTTACCAACCTTTCATTATCAGGATTTCTCTCGGCCATTTTGGTGTGCTTTCTTCATCAAACTTGTTCATTAAACTTTTAAATATGGCCGTTGTTTTGTGCAGACGACACCGCTTGAGAAAGAATTCGTATAATTTTACGCATGCGCAACAGTAATGAAAATTTTACAGAGCATTCGATTGGTTACACAAGGAGTCAAGTCACGCCATTTTGATTGGCAGGAAATATACTTTTCTAGGCGGACGAGAATGACATCTATTGGAAAAGAGATATATTACGCCAGTCAGTACATCACCAATCCCAAACACTTGTCAGAGAAAATCAATTGTGATTATTTGAGAAAACGTATTACTGGAAGTCCCCGAATTGACAATAGACGTTGCATTCTTTATCCAGACATTTGTAACACCTCGTTATCGTAAAATATTGCATATTTTACACATTGTTAGATCATCTGATCTGAAACGTCAGGATGACCCTATATTCATCGTGTTTCTTCTGTAGTTGTGTGCTCTCCACTGTCAGCTGTGCATTAACATTTTTGCACTTTTAACGTCTCAATTTCCACCTGTGAGATTCAGCTAAATTTGTCTGAGAGTTCCTGAGATGGGCCTATTCAAGTGTTGTTATCTTTTGAGTCTGTCCGAAATCCAACATGTTTAAAAACACATTGTAAACGTCTTCGCAAGCCCAACTGGTGCCATTGGACTGAAAATTGACGGTGATATTAAAGAAGGGAAACCGTTTTTCGACCTTCTCAAAAGTTTAATATAGCAGCCATGACAACCATTTTGTAACATGGTGACACATCAACAGAACTCTGAACAATATACATTCTACACTTTTAAATGTTGTCAATTTTGGTTCGTTTCGAAATCTTATATGGCCGCATCTTAAACTTTTTTAACTTCTTCTCGAGGTCAAAACTGGTCCAAATGAGCTGTTTGTTGTGGAATTTGGAGAAAATGAAATGAGGTTTTTTCCCCTTTACTGCTAAGATGTTCAGAAGTAATCTTTCATAACTGTTCTTATTACTAAAGCTACTTTTAATATCATATATCGGTCTTTATGATCAGATGACCGTTAAGGCCTATTGGCCCCTTGTTTACTTTGTACCAACGACACGACTGTGTAACCTATACCCTTGCCCATATATATACACTGATGTCTTGTAGTACTTGGAACTCCGTTTCAATAGCTGGACTCGCTACATAGCAGCATTGGTCTTCGCCATAGAGATGGTAAGTTAAGTAGTATACAGTTTATAAACATGTTATTATATGGCACAGACTTCATTAAGTTCAGTAGCTGTTCTAGTAAACTGAAGTTCAACAGATCAGAAGTTCTTACTCAGAATGATTCGGTATTACTAGAAACATCGTAGATAAGGACAGTCATTTACTCGCTTGGCTGATACCTTTGATTATTTCCTTTTATTTCTGCTCATTTGACGCTTGTCTTTCCAGATTTTGTTTTTGATATATCTATCAAACAATCGTCAAGAAATCATCGAATATATTTCTTTGTACTTTTTTTTTTCAAAATAATCTCACAGTGCATATATATTTCAGTTAATCAAAAGGTGGTACATTATTGTAAACTCCTTTGTGAGACATGTCGTGTTTCGTTTGGGCTTTGGTCATTTGTTAAGGTATTTGCCTTGCTGTATCTATATTCCGTGATGTGTGTTGTAAAAGACTTCTGCGCAGGGAGCTACAGTGCAACGGTCCATTACTTAACGTCGTTTTCCTCGATTTTAGGTACTGTATATGGCGGTGGTTCTTTATGCGCCTGCGCTTGCTTTGAATCAAGGTAAGTATTGGTTCATGGTACTGTTATAATCTATACAGTACGTATAAAGAAAGAAATACTTATATGTCATTTAAACAATTATCTATGCTTCTGTTATATACCTTGACAAATAAAACTGTGTATTAGGACCTTGTTTAACGGTATTACTTACATTTGCAGAAATTTAACGCCAGAATTTCTTTTCACAGTAACACGTATTCAACTGTCGTCTTCACGTTGTTGTGGGCTTTAGTAGCTTTCTTTCACTACATAAGCTTCGTGGTAGCCTTATTTCTGTCCCCACCACGCGGAAGTGATTGATTATTTTTGCTCAAGCTGTTTCCAATGGCAAGATATTAGAGTTTGCTATCATGGACTATATACATTGCGCCGTCATAAATGGTCATTGAAACGATTGTCGTAATTGGTGACGTCATTAATTTTATCTATTTACAGTGACTGGTCTCTCATTGCCGGGTTCTATATTAAGTGTGGGCGCCGTAGTAACCTTCTACACTTCTATGGTAGGTTCACGATTAATCGTTGTGAATTATTTGCATGATACTAAGTAAAAAACAAAACAACAAAAAATCAATATTATGTTGAAATCGTAAGACTTTATATACAAAAGACTTTGTGTCTTCGTGTTGTTTTTTTCTGGAGTTAATGTCATTCAGATCTATATATTATATAACCACAGTGATTGATATTATGGTTGTATGTGAAATGTTCCTGTCATTTAATAAATGACCATTTGACAACATTTCTTTTCCCTGTTGTTTTTTGTTTATAAGACATGTACAACAAATAACAAGCTGCAGTCTCTGAGCTGGGTTACCATGCTAACACAAATGACTTTGTGTCTTCGTGTTGTTTTTGTCTGGAATGGTTGGAACTAATCAGAAATATTTCAGGGAGGATTACGTGCCGTGTTGTGGACAGACACATTCCAAACATTTGTCGTCGTTGGGGGTCTCGTTGGGATCATCGCAATGGGCTGCATGAAGTTCGGAGGCATATCAGAGGTATGGAACCTCGCACAGCAAGGAGGAAGAATAGAGTTCTTTAAGTAAGTAAAATTTATAACAAAACTATCTTGGTTTTCATCATCAGTATATCTATCTGTACTCACAAGCTGTAGCGAGTGCTTTTTATATGTTGCTAGAGAATACTAACGATAATTAAAGGAATACCATATACAACATCCTTGACTTTGTGTGACCTATTTCTACCACAATGGAGGAAGCTATTCCGCGGATGAATTAACCTAGTCTGAACCCGCGCGTGTTTTGACTGTATCAGTTGGGGAGTTTATGATAAGACCAGAAGTAACATGCCATTATTAATTCACAATGTTTGAAGGATTTTTTTCAAAGCGATATATATATAGAAAAAAAATCCATATCAAGACTTAATTATAAAAAAACCTGCACACTAATCTTTGCGAGATTTGATTTTGGCCAGTGCGTATTCACAGATCACACCACTGGTCAAAGTCACTGTGTTCACCAATCAAAATGCGTTCAGATTTTAGAGCACATGTGGTTTATTCGATCTAATGTGGTAGAAAGCGGTATATACACATAAAAACACCAGAGCAAATGTTTTCCAAAATATAAGAAAATAAATTGAATTTGACTTTTCATAGGTTAGCATACATTTACGATAATAACATAGGTCTGACATATAAATGACATGTCCTTGCAGTTTCGACCCAAGTCCCTTTACGAGATGCACGTTCTGGGGGCTAACTGTTGGTAGTTTTATCGGCCAGCTGACAATTTACGGAGCCAATCAAACCATGTTACAACGGTATATGAGTATCAGCAATGTTAAAAACGCGCAGATGTAAGTATACATACGGGTATCAGCAATGTTAAAACCGCGCAGATGTAAGTATACATACGGGTATCAGTAATGTTAAAAACGCGCAGATGTAAGTATACATACGGGTATCAGTAATGTTAAACACGCGCAGATGTAAGTATACATACGGGTATCAGTAATGTTAAACACGTGCAGATGTAAGTATACATACGGGTATCAGTAATGTTAAAAACGCGCATGTGTAAGTATACATACGGGTATCAGTAATGTTAAACACGCGCAGATGTAAGTATACATGCGGGTATCAGCAATGTTAAAAACGCGCAGATGTAAGTATACATACGGGTATCAGCAATGTTAAAACCGCGCAGATGTAAGTATACATACGGGTATCAGTAATGTTAAAAACGCGCAGATGTAAGTACATACGGGTATCAGTAATGTTAAACACGCGCACATGTAAGTATACATGCGGGTATCAGTAATGTTAAAAACGCGCAGATGTAAGTACATACGGGTATCAGTAATGTTAAACACGTGCAGATGTAAGTATACATACGGGTATCATTAATGTTAAAAACGCGCATGTGTAAGTATACATACGGGTATCAGTAATGTTAAACACGCGCAGATGTAAGTATACATACGGGTATCAGTAATGTTAAAAACGCGCAGATGTAAGTATACATACGGGTATCAGTTATGTTAAAAACGCGCAGATGTAAGTATACATACGGGTATCAGTAATGTTAAACACGCGCAGATGTAAGTACATACGGGTATCAGTAATGTTAAACACGCGCACATGTAAGTATACATACGGGTATCAGTAATGTTAAAAACGCGCAGATGTAAGTATACATTTGATTTTCATGAGAGTTTGAAACTGTTCCAGATTTTTGTTTTTTGACTTAGTCCATTTATTTGAAAACAAAAACATTATTCGCAACATAAAATTGACATATAATGATATTTAAGTTATATATATATATATAAATATATTTTAATTTATATATTTATTTGTCAAACGACAAAAATCTTAAAATCTTGAAAAAACAAATTTGGAAACAACATCACAATATACTAATATATATTATATATATGGTTGTAATTTGTATCATAGAGCCCTTTTCGTGAGCTTACCAGCCACCATCATTTTGGTCACTCTGGTGTGCCTGTCCGGACTGGTCATTTACGCGGAGTACCACGACTGTGATCCTTTACTGGACGGTAAACTTATATCCAGGGACCAGGTAAATATGCAATTCATATAAGGAAATTAATAATAACGATTTAGAAACGATTACAGAAAACACGTCTGTTAATCTGTTCTGTTGGTGCAATAAAGGACATCGTCTAATTCGTTATCAACTCCACAAGTGCTTATTAGTTTACCTTTTCAAACATATATGTTAATAAGTTGGTGTCGGAGTGTTTCATACGATTTTCCAGACTCTCAAGTACTCTTTCTTTCATCGTTTTCTCCAGTGGTTTACAGAATGAACGCTACGCCTAAATACTACTAATAAAAAACTAATTTTGAACATCCCTTTTATCGTTCTGTCAATATATGAAGTGTATGGTTATGTATATCTTTGATTAAATGCACGCTTGATTGATAACATTCACATATCTAGCCTTTCTGTTAGAAGCACATCATTCTAGTATGGTCCAAATGTATACTGAGATAATACAGGCTGGAATACTGGTATGGTAATTTTGGATTTACGGTTAATGCCTTTACAATAAACGCTATGGTGATTCTAAATTCGACAAAAATACGTCGTAGTAGAATGACCATACTTACTATGACGGAATTAACTCCAAGTCAAAGATGTGATGTCAAGCATTAAATGTACAGATAATGCAGACCACTACCTATTTAACATAACAATGTATCCAAATATCTATTACGGTAACAAAGACAAGTGCTCTTCAAATCAGCCTGATGCATTGAAGGCCGTTCTTCTAATTTTCTTGTATCGCATTGAAGTAAGTTACGCAAAATTTTGATGTGTCGGGAATGTGAAAGATGCTCACAAAGGCTCCCAAGAGTCTAATACCACTTGAATATTTTGTTTGTACAATCCAAGACAGTTCTACTGGTGAGGACAGTATCAGACTACTCAAGTTAACAGGCTTTCGTGTGATCCAAACAGCTTTATTCAGTCGGGTCTAGTAGTTTTAATTTGACTCTCGTCAAAGAACTACGTATGCTTTGTGTTCGTTAGGGAATGGGACGCCTTATTATACCTTGATGGTATTGGTTTGTTCTTAATGTCTTCAATGCCATTGTTTCCTTTTCCCTAAAGAGACAGCATTACAGCTAGCAATTGCAAATGTAAGGTTTCATTGAAATATTGAGAACTAAATAAGACGTCATGTTCCTGATTGACCAAATATAGTATACATCTTATTGATATCTCAGCAAATCTGAAAAGTTCAATTCTCATACAATTTTAGTTAGAAAGGTTTAAGCCATGGCGTATAAGACACAATGATGCTTCACCACATTTTTGATATATGCTACTGTTGATAACAGGTAGTGATGATTTTGTTCGTTTGGAACCTTTTGAGGTCGGGACTCCTTGACATCACACCAATCATAACATCACAATTAAAAAAGACATCGAAACTATCATTTATGAATCACCAACGCCATTTTATTACCATAAAATGGATGTCGTCTATAAGAACACGGATGTGGACAATTATCGCCATGCATTCATATATAAATCTACATCTATACCAAATTTCATGCTTTTGTTTAGAATATGCATAATTGTTTAGTTAATTGATTTCCTACGGATATTGATCGAAATTCAATTTGGGCATCATCATCAATATACCATAAGGTTGGTTATAATTCGAACACCAGTCATAATGAATGTCAAAAAGACCAATTTATGTTATTGAATTCGGACCACTTCCATTTCACACCCTTAATGCCTAATGGTTAATGACTGTGTTATAGCTGTTACCGTACTACGTGATGGAGAGTCTTGGTAGAATACCTGGAATACCTGGACTGTTCGTGGCATGCATATTCAGTGCTGCGTTGAGGTAATGCATCATTTAAACGGGGAAGGGGTGATAACTTGCTGTGTCTATAAATATGAAAATCAATACACCAATTAATGAATTGATAAAAAAGTATAATGTTTTCCACTGAAAGTGAATCATTCAACAAGAAGACATAAATTTGTATTGAAATTACTGACATTTATAGTCGGATTCCATACAATACTCATTAAGTTGTTGTAGCAATTCGTATGCATTTCTTATTTGGTTGATGGTACATAACTATTGTCTTCTTTTTATATTCAAGCTCTATATCTTCTTGTTTGAATGCCCTCTCTATAACCTTATTGGAGGACTTGCTGAAACCTTTCCTGGATTACATTGGTGTAGTAATGAAAGCATCCGCAGAAGCGAAAGCTGCAAATATATTAGGTGAGCATGGGACAATAGCTTTATCCAATGGTTTTGATATCAGCCATGCATATCTGATATATGCAAACTGTATGATTTGAAAATGAATAGGGCTGAAATGATATAATGATCCATTTTTCCTCATCGATCTTGCACATTGTACTTTACGAATAAATGTTTATGGTAGTTATAGAAACAGAGATACAGCCGAATGTAATTTATCAGATCAAATTGTCAAGCTGATATGACTCCTTGCATTCGCCTTTACCTAAAATCAGGCGTTAAATTTGTTCTTAAATATATCAATATGATGTAAACGTGAGTCCTTGGGTTGGGGAGATGGTAGATATATTATAGAGGTAATTATTAGTTATGTATGTTGTAGCAATACACAGCTGTAATAAAATGTAGGTTGTAACTAAACACAGTACAATATAGTATAGATCTAAGACAATATAGGATAGAGCTATACAACTATGTAGTACAATATAGGATGAAGTATACACATCTGTTGTACAATATAGTATAGAAGTATACACCTCTTTAGTACAATATTGGAAAGAACTGTACACACCTGTAGTACAACACCTAATAGAAGTATACACATCTGTAGTTCAATATAGGATAAAAATATATACATCTGTAATATAATATAGGATATCTATAAACAATATATATATATATACATATATACAGCTGATGTAGTACTTTGTTGTTTGTTGCAACTGTCAACTATCTACAATGTAACTTTACACAGCTGATCAGTACCATGTAGGTTGTCGCAACTATTAACTATCTACAAAGTAACATTACACTGCTGATTCAGTTATTTGTGATATAATTATGCAGAGTAAAAGGTTATCACTTTTTATGTTTTATGTTCATTGCATACTGTAAAAAATATTTATATGCAGGTGCCCTGGGAGGATTGGTTGTAATTGGATTTGCCTTCTTGTCTGCACTGCTGGGTTCGACTGTGCTTCAGGTAATTTCCAACTAAAAAGAAACATAAGTTGCATTCATGATTGTATTAATAATTATTTGTTTTGTAAATCAATAATGCGAAATGATAGATATTTATTTGAGACTATTATTTCAGACGAAAGGAAAATTGATTTTTAAATACGCATTTTAACCAGACAATGATGTATTTTCAAGATTATTACCGCTTTTCTCCATTTCTATACTAGATAATGATATCGGTATTAGGAATGGCAGGAGGTCCACTACTTGGTTTGTTTCTGATGGGGATGTTTTTGCCATGTGTCAACGGCAAGGTAAATTGATTTATTGTTTTGGTTGAAGAAAACATGACTAAGTATTGAGAACTTCTTTCTAATCATCTATCAGATTTCTTCAGAAAAATCACAGATTTTCTGCCTGTAAAAATCAGCAAATGCTCGATAGTTACGTAGATTGGTTTTTTTCTTTCTGAAGGGGGCATTGGCTGGCATGGTTGTTAGCACAGTCGTAATATTCTGGATCGTGGTTGGCTCTTTTGTATATCACGTTCCTATGCCAACGCTTCCGTTTGGGACCGACGGATGTGACGTAGAAGATGGTGTTACGTATGCTATGAATAACTTTGTAATGAATTCTCCGGATTTAAACATGCCTAGAGTTCCGATCAGTGACAGTTATATAGCTGAAACTGAAATTGATTGGTAAGTTCAGATATATAGTGTATTTTGATATTTGCATTGGTATATCCTGATTATACTGACGTAAATTAAGTTTATTGACATAGCGTTGCGGAGACACAACGAATATGAAATGTAGAAATAGCGTTATTGAATAAATCGGGTTGGTTTATTAGGTGTATTGCAAGCATCATATGTCATTGTATTCCATCACACGAATAAATAATTTTCCAGATACAATATGGCATGAAACATAAATAACAGAAATATTACAAGAAGGTGATAAGACCAGGGGTTCCAGGATGATAAATGTGTTCTGCTTTATCAACAATACATACATCACTTTACAGCTGTGACACTGTGATTTCAGGGTTTATGTAATTGAGACATGGATGTTAAAACATATTACATAGTGATGTAATTAGAAATACATTTATCAGGTTTACGAATATATTTTTTATATGTTTCTGTATAATTTTGACTGTAATGATCATATTTACAGGTCTGGTCCCATGGCGGTGTACAGGTTGTCGTTCCTGTGGTATCCAACAGTGGCTATATGTATCGCTTTGGTCGTCGGCATCCTCGTCAGTTGTCTTACAGGTACGTTGGTTCTTGCACTAGTCGGCAGTAGTTTTCCTATGATATACTATTATATATGTATGTAGAGAACATATTGTTAGGTTTTGTTTTCTTGGAAAATTTACAAAGTACTTTGTAATTTCTTATTACAGTGAAAGTAGACTTAATTTTGCCAATGTTTAATTACATGGACAACGTATAGGTAATATGTGACGAATAGAAAACTAGTCAGCATTTTCATTTCGGAGAAAAGTTATTGGTAATTTTTTATTTATAAAACTTGTTGGTAAGTTCTGACGCTAAGAATCAAAATATTACCTTGAATAAACAAACTCGTGGTTAATATATATAATTTTGGTTTTTCACTGTCATTCCTTTCCAAAAGTTATTAAAAACCAACAACTATACCAGCATGTTAAAATTATCATAATCAATACTTGACAAAACACCTGTTCTATTCGAAATACTAGCACTGCAATTTTACCCAAACGTCATAAGTTTATATAAAGGTTACATACATTTCATTATCTTCATCGGTCTTATGAATATTGTTTTTTTAATACTCTAGGTTGGCAGAGTGAGAAGATTGCTCCTAAATTTGTGTATCCGGTATCTGAGAAGTTGTGCTGCTGTCTTCCCAGTTGTGTCCGGAGGAAACTAAACTGTTTTAAATTGTGGAAATATGTACGTACACTACATACTATCTGTCTTTTGGTTTGTAGATTTTGAATGTTTTTTCTATAAGGCCCATAGAATGGTAAAATAAGATATAAATTGAAGTTACAGTTATCGATATTATTAATTATCAATTGATTTAACCATGTCATATAACTCACGACACAGGTCAACTATCGTATCTGTCTAGGTATTTAGTTGGTTTAGTTACATTTCCAGCACACCCTGCTTCCGTATGCAGATTATTTTTTTGGTTTAAGAATTTTACAATTATTCTCCTTGTGGTAAAAGTGGAACATTCTAAAGGACATACTGAAATTTTACAAGACTAAAAGTAAAACCACTTTCTAATTAGGCGTTGACGTGTAATTCTGGATTCATGGTTATATAGCTTATTTCAATCGAATGGTTATATTGGCTTTTGATTATTTGTACTAAAATGATTAAACCTGAAAGCGATTTCATGATATAGAAATATGTACGTTTCTACATATGTTATCGACGTCATGTCATCTCTCTGATCACACAGTTGCCAAGTACTTATCATTCGACAAACCATCAATAGTACACTAAGGCTATTCAAGGAAACATGGTAGTCGTAGCTACCTATCAGTTCAATATTATTAAATTGTATACAGAGTTACAATGTAAAAGAAGGGGTATTCCTAGAAAGATAAAGTGATAAAGACGGGCGTGAAGAAAATTTCGAACTGTCGTAAGTAATAATATTGTAATATGAATTAGTTCTCTAAGAAACTTAAGAAGAGACTACAGAAAACCCGGCCTTGATACGATCTTACCATGTTTGTCATTGTGTTTCCTGTCCTCGTTATTATGTAACTATGGTTGTTACAGAATAATATTATGTTGTTGCTGAATTTTATAATGTAAACATTGTTGTTAATGAATATCATAATATAAACATTGATGTTGCTGATTTTTTGTTACAGAATGTTGGTAGCATGAGCGATGTTTTGTCAGATGACGAGGAGGAAGAAGAAGAGTTCAGCAAACTAAAGATGGAAACCCGTGAGACAGCAAAGCTTCTTCCTCCAAAATCGCGGCGTATGGATAGCTTCGAAACGGAAATGAACGAATTTGATGTTTAATAAACAATGTGACACTCCAAATTTTCCCGATGCGTTTTGATTACATAAATAGATTATAATTTGCATATGATTAAAAGAAAAGCTATATAGTTGATTCTTTCTTCATATATATATATATGTATATATACCTATTGTAATCCTTGAATATTCTATCACACATTCATCGCACGGCTGGTTGATCTATGACGCATGTCATACAATAGTGATTAAGCGTAGGACCATCCGAAGATACTGTCACATTTTTCTTGAGGAATGCTGAATGAATCTTTTACATAATTCAGTGATGTGTTTCTTTGGGTTGTACCAATTAAATTAAACCGACATCAAGGTGAAACAATCTTTTACTCATTTTTATAGTTTATATAATTAAGTGTATCACCTTATCAACAAGGACAGTAGGTTTTCGCTGAAATATGTACATACTTGGTTTAATTAATAATTATAAAGAGAAAATCTTATTTGGTGAACAAAAGTCTAGATATCTAAAAGTTTTTAGTCATATATGATATTCCATTTAATTTATTAAATTCGTAATTCTGAATTGACTTTGAGTTATCAAAACACATTAAATTTTATTTACTATGTCATGTTTACCCGTCATCATGTATTCGTCTACAAAATGAACTGCCTCCATTCTATAACTAAGTTTTAGAAGTGGTCGAGCTGGACATTGGGAATCAATTATGAATATTGGGAAGGCATCGAAACGTAACTGGAGGTATAAAAACACATACCATCAATAGAAAAAATATATTTTAACCGTGATATCCATATCTGAACAACCTAGAGTCTAGGGTACCTCTTAATGTGAACGTGAATGTGCAGGCACTCTAGGTAGGGGAGACGGAAGGGAGATGCTTAAGGCACACGAACTATGTTGTGACATTTTGGCTGGAAAAGGTATGGTTATACATTGTATGTAGTTTTAAAATGTAAGCCCGTGTAAAATGTACCAAGACATCCATACAAATAAGAATGGGTGTAACAATCTAAATGGGCTAGTTATTTGTGTGACATTTGGTAGACATTAATTTGTAATGAAAATAAAAATAATTTTGTATTGTTTAAGAGTGATTTTCATTTTTCAAGACTCAATATCAAACAAACGATGCGTCAAAATTATCCTCCGTCAGGTTTTGTTAGCCGAATTATCGTGGTCATCATATGTTACGGTCAGTAGTGTACACCTTGGCCAATGTCATAACCTGGTGGTCAAGGTAGGGATTATCAGGCCCTGATAGTGTCCTCTATGTTCGCGTGGGCATTTGCGCCATGTCTATTGGTATATGTGAAGCTTTAATGCAAGCGAAAGGATTTCCGAAGGACATAGATATACATAGATTTCCTACAGACGTAGACTGGTGTAAAGTCAGCTAGTGGTTTGTTTATCGATACAAACATTTATCTGACAACATACTTTATTAATGGATATCTTTAGTAATATACAGATGTCTGGTCAAGACGACCAGGCTTTCAATCTTTCAGACTTCGTTATTTATCAGGCGAATTGAAGATAACGTTACCAATGAAAAACCATGAGGTATCTCGTGTAGTTCTATAACCAGCTGGTTATATACAGGTTATACAGTGGGCATGTGGGAGGTAATTTGTTAATGGGATATTATAATTATACGTCGAATTTTGTGATTATGATGTGAATATCATAATTGGATTGTCGAGAAAATATTCATAGAAATAGTTTAATTTTACTTTCAATTTTTTCTATTTTGTCCACGCCCATAAGTGACCATTGTCCACTGAGTGGTGTTCTGTGACGTACGATTACAGGATATACAGCATGGATATTTATACCGAATCGAGTTTAAAAACATGCAAGAAAGTATGTGAACTTTGTGATGGAGAACAAATCGGATCATTTGTGGCAGTGGACTATGTACTGTTTGCAGGGGTTCTGGTAGTTTCAGCACTTATTGGAGTTTTCTACATGGTCCAAGAAGCACGTGCAGCGAAACAAGCCACAGCCGATGATGTTCTGATGGGCGGAAGGGATATAGGAATCTTTCCTATAGCTATGTCCTTGATGGCTAGTTTTATGTCTGCTATAACAGTGTTGGGAACACCTACCGAAATGTACAATAACAACACAAGTTACTGGATTGCTGGAAACGCTATTATCATCACAACGATACTGACCAATCACGTGTTTCTTCCCTTTTTCCATAAGCTAAGCCTAACCAGTGCATATGAAGTAAGTATTATCGATGCATCGATTTTCTTCTTCAATTGTAGCTATATTTAGTTATTCAAACAAACAACCATAACAGTCTTTATCAATATAAAAAAAACGATAATTTAATTTTGTGACGCAATTTTTATTTCTCACAACAAATTACATTTTACTGCATCTGTTTCCAGTGGAATTATATCAAACGCAACATGACGATGGCGAGATATACAATTGTCAATATAATCTAAGATATCAATAAATAATCCATTCATCACATTTGTATACACATTTATCTTAACCATGCACAATCTTTATATTCATTTATCATCAAAACGTACACATAGTGTTAACCTTTTGGTATGGCGACGATTTATTTTCTCTGCTACAGACATGAACTATACACGGTATCTACCATGTTTGCGCAACGTATCGATTTATTGAGGGAGTAACAGAATATAATGATTATACAATATAATGCATTGACCAAAATGGAAATTATGTATATTTTGTAATATATTGAAGTATCAAATTGTTTCATTTCATCTTTGGTTTACGCACGTAGGATTTTGTTGTTTGCATTTCCTTTCCGGACTTGCTGAAGCATTACAGAAAATGAGTTTCAATTGATTACTATTCAAGTTAATATAAAGAATGACATAAATATCATTCTTTATTCCATGTCTATCTACTACAGGAAGGGCATGATTAATACTTTCTTAATTCAGTACAAAAAGCATTAACACTCCTATATCGTATCACTACACCAGGAAAACCATCAACTATATGTGTACCGCCTTGTGTTATACTATTGATCTCTCCTTATCGTATGTTTATACACGGTAACAATGCCAATTTATCAGCACTGCAGCTCTGTTATTGCCGAGGAAACTATGCTGTTACTTATTATCAAATGGTTAGATTTAAAAAAACCTTTAAAGGTTTGTTTGATCTACATGATATTTATCTAATTCCAACTAAAATGATTATCAAAAAAAACGCCAAACATATATGATGTTGACGTCAATTGACTTTTGTGAACAAAAATTCAGGAAAAATATATCACATTTCCTGGAATAGCAGATCAACACAACGTGATTGAAAGAACAATAATGTAGAATTTGTAATCAATAATTGATGGTGTGTTTCGAAAGAATGGAAACTTTGCAGTTAGCGAGCACATTTACTATACATATAGCCTAAAGTTATCGGAAAACATGCAAAACACGTAAGGGGTTGATTTAAGAGAAATAAATGATACTCCGACAACTTACCCAAATAAAGAAACCATGTCCTGAACAAACCTCAAACTTCCATTCACGTTGTTTCATATCTACAGCCCTCTCTCCTCTTCAATACTATCTTGATATACAACTAACTACGTAAGAATGTATGTACAAACACATGCAAAATATCATTTTGTTACCAGTAAATTGTTAATCTCCTGTTAGATGAAAGATGAAGATGATATCAGTTGCTAGTTATGAATGTACAAATACATATAAAAACATTGTAACGGAATGTCAGTGTCTTAGAATGCAATAATTAGACCTGGATGATTAATCAGTGTGTGTTTGTTAAACATTCAAACAATGAAAAATATTTCGTCATTAATTGTTTTAATAAATGAACAAAAGGACTTAAATATTTGTAAAAATGTCAGAACTGCTGGTGAGTATAGCGGTGCATGCAGTTTTAACATATACATTCACTGTACATGTTTGTATGTGTTAACCATGAGTATAGTTATACATATCAGTCTATTGACGGACATCGATAAGGAACTTTATTTGGATATCGAACGAACTGATAATCATTGTTATTGTTATCGGTATTTACCTGTATTAATGGATTCACCTGTTGGGAATGTGTCACCATGTCTCGATAGGAGATACTGGTTACATGTTATATTTCTACTAAGAACTGTCTTTATGAGAACACAAGCCTTATAGCCTACATGTAGCTTAACTATCAGTAACAACTCTGCAGAACATTTCAATCATATGTATCAAAATTGAATAACAAAGAAAGTATCGATACAATAAGTCAAGCTCGGATTTAATGAAACTGGGACAAAATATGAACAAAAAGAAAGATTCAGAAAATAAGACAATGCGATCTGGAAGAGTAAGCGTCTTCTGCTTCATCAACGATACCTGCGACGTTAGTCTCAGTCAAAGCAAATAAACTAAAATACATTCACAAAGGAGAACAGGTAAAGAACAACACAATCTCTGAGAAAACAAGGGAACACCAAACACGTCCGAATTTATATCGTACAAAGAATTTTTTATAGGTGACCATTATATAAAACGTAATTTTTTTCTGTAATCTTTCTTAGTCTGCATCTCTCGAAACCCTCTGTAATGAGTATGTCTTTCAGTTGCCAACATTTCGCACAGGAATTGTGATATTGAAGTTCTTGAATATCGAATCAATTGCAACAATATCAGATGGGGATGCTGGGATGTTGCCATCCACAATAGAAACATTTTACGACAGGGAAATTAAAATCAACCGATTATCATACAACATCATATTAAGCTGTCCCAATTTGGGTTTTTTTGTTGTTTGAAGAATACGGAATAGCGGGGTGGTCGGTGGTAACTGTATTTCAACAATATATTTCATATTTTTCTTTCACAGTTGTATTTAAAAAAAGGTTACTCTTTTGAGTTCTGTAACATCTACTAGATGAACCATCAATAACAAGTTGTTAATATGGATTCTCGTGAAGTTAAGGAATCCCATATAAACGAAGAAGGCCCGTATCCTTATCAATAATAAACAATATGATATAATACTTAAGCATGTTTAAGCATGGTCTTTGGAAAGACTGTATATGATGTGTAGGTAGAGTTTCCGTCGTTATTTAGCAGGTTCTTCATTGTATGCAGGAGATCTAATAATGTATGCAGACAAGGATAGAGTTATTGGATGCCTTATCTGCAGGCACAATAATATACCTCTTATGTAAATCATCAAGCAAGAATTAAACATTAGGATCATGGAATACAGAGTTGTGTTTTGTTTGCATTTTACAGTTTAAGCTGCTAATTTGTTTAAAAATGGATTTTATTCTACCTGAAAGTGCATCCAGCAGTAACAGTTGCTACTTATAATGCTACTTATTCGATAAAAAGACACATCAAAATTTATTGTTAGAATTTAACTTTTTTTAGATAACCATACATCCATCCTGTTGTCACAAATTACTTCTGCCGATGCAATAAGGAGAAATCCGGTGCCAAGTTAATACGTTTACACTACATCTCAAATAACGAAGCGACTGTTTGTTAAATACGATAAATGCTGTCTGAATGAGAAAAGATACATTAATATAAAAACATGGCTATCGAAAAAGCAACCTTAATTGAATTATTATCTCTTAATTGAAATGTAATATTAGATGTGATCCAGTATTAAATGTACTGAGTATTAGATGTACTCTAGTATTAGATGTAATCCAGTATCAAATGTACTTTTGTATCCAAAGTACACCAGTATTAGATGTACTCCAGTATCAAATGAACACTAAGTTTCAAATGTTAACCAGTATTAGGTGTACTCAAGTATTAAATGTACCCAATTATCGAATGTACTCGAGTGTTCGGACAAATGCCACCTATTTGCGCTTTTTTTTCTTTCAGTACTTGGAGAAGAGATTTAACGTAGTTGTACGAGTATGTGCATCATTGATCTTTATGATGAATATGGTAAGTAGAAATAAACCTTAACTCTATACTCAATTACTATTTCTCTCTTTTTACCTGTTTATTTATAGTGTCACATTTCTTGGTTTTTGTGTTGCTTTTGCTTTTGCTTTTTTGAATTTAACTTTTTATTTTCTTGCAAGATATTATTGCACTGACCTCACATTTGCATTGTTTGCTTATTAACTGATCTATTGTATCATCGAAACAAAAGCACAATTAATAGTTATAAGAGAAAAAACTTAACTTCGATATAAGATATTGTATCTCGTAGGATGCCGTCATTAAGATGCAATATTCAGGTATATTCTCTGATGCATTATCAATATTGATATTAATGCATGGAACGTTTATTTGAACGTACTCTATGAATACACTTCACATGATTTTACTGTCAGTGTATGATGTAAACAATTAATTCTAACTCTAATATAAACTCACACAAACCATCACAATAATTTAGAAGCAGTGAATAAATATGACGTTACTTACCAACATTTTACATGTTCCCTTATAGCTCCTGTATATGGGAGTAGTTTTGTATGCACCTGCCTTGGCATTGAATCAAGGTATGTTGAGACGTATCAGGCAATCATCAAAATGCAACAATAACACAATCAGTGAAATATATTAAAAATATGATAAGTAAAAAATAAAGGTATGATAGGAGTTTTAAGTTTCAAAATCCAGGCCCATTCAATTTAATTGTACGTTGAATTATTATAAAATAAACAATTGGTTGTTGGAGAAGAGGTATCTTCTCTCGTATTTATACACGTTTATATATCTTCCACCTACGAGATTTCACCGTTTTTCCACTGTTGACATTATATTGGTATACCTGTTTTTAGAGAAAGACTTCAATGACCTTTTCATAATTTAGTGTTTTTTTGTTTGATGACTTTAAGTACTGACTATTTACACTGTGGCATTGCTTAAAACCCTTCTTGTAGTTACTGGTCTGAGTTTGTCGCTGTCAATTGTCTGTATAGGCCTGGTGTGTACATTCTACACGGCACTGGTAAGTTATTTTTGAGATCAATGTCTTAAGTATTGCAATATTCAAATATGAATCAAATGAAATCATTCATTAAAAAGTGAAATGCACTTTAGAGTACAAATATCAAATCATGGTACGTAGATTGAAGGAAATGAACCAAAAGTATTTGCATTATCTAATCTCAAATTAACATAAATAAATGTATTTTCTTCGGTCTTGGTTCTGCTCTACAGGGTGGACTAAGAGCTGTTGTATGGACCGACACATTTCAAACATTTGTCGTCATGGCCGGACTTATCGCCATTATTGTAGTAGGGTCACGTGAGGTCGGTGGCTTGGATAGAGTCTGGCAAATAGCTGAGCATGGTGGCAGAATACATTTCATTGAGTACGTTATCTATCAAAAATGCTACCCATCATTATGTCAAATATAAAAATAATTATAACAACTTTTTAAACAATAATTCCGAAACATGCTTAATCAACTTATTTTATCCAATCTTGTTGACCCTATTTTACGAAACGACATATTGAGTTGCACAAATTAAGCTGATTAACAAATCTCACGATTTTCCCTCATTGCAATCATCAGAGCATATGTTATACGCGATTACAACCCTTAATCGTTTCTTATGCGATAAGAGTGGCGTATTTTGATAAATCATATATGCCGAGAGTATGATTTTTTCAACTTATGAACTGCAAATGTTGTTTTATATTGGTCAGGTATATAATCAAATAATGAATACGATTGCTTTGTTGGAATACAAACGTTTCTCAATTCAACCTGTTAGAATATACATCAGTGTGTATATCGAATAAAATGACATCGACGTAAATTTCTCCAACGCTAAAAAGTGAAATTTACATCTTTTAATAATACAATATTTTCAGCTGGAGTGCCGACCCTACCGTTCGTCACTCCTTCTGGGCACTTGTCATTGGTTCTATTGTTGGTCAGCTGACGATTTACGCAGCCAATCAGACAATGATTCAGCGATATTTGGCGATCAAAGAAATAACAAACTCTAAAAGGTAATAAACAGCAAACTTTTACCTGGATAACTGTTAATCATACTGTTTGATGACGTTAATAATACCTGACTGTTAAATGAAGTGACAATGTATCAAATGCATTTTGTGATCTTATGAAACAGTATAATGAGAAAGTTTATTACTGTTCATGTTGTATTTTCGAAGAAAAAATAAAATCGCGAAAAACGTAAATAAAACAAATAAAACAATTTCACTTATTTAGCAAAAATTACACCAGTTTTGAACCACGCATCGAAAAAACTGTGAAAATATGCACATTCAGAAATAGAACATTTCAATGAGTTCACCTGTTCACATGAATGTTAAGCAGCAATTGATTGATATAACTAAACTTAATTATTTACGCGTGAATAATTTAAATCCGTTTCAGTTTTTATTGGGTATTTTTGCATTTTGTGGATTAATTATTTTCCTATTTTTCCATTGTACGTAAATGAAATATGGCGATATAATATTTGTGTTGTCATAGAGCACTGTATGTAAGTCTCCCATTGACTTTGATCCTGTCCACGGTGGTGTGTCTGGTAGGAATTGTCATATATGCTACTTATCATGATTGCGATCCGAAAATCCTGAACCTCGTCAAAGCCAGAGACCAGGTAGAGATAATGTTATTATAAAAACGCATGGTTTATGATAGAACAATAAAATTTTAAAAAGTTCATGATTTATTCCGTTTAAGAGTTTAATTGCATGTTTTGATGATTACATCTACGTCGATAATTTCCAGATAATGTATCAAATGTCATCAAGGGGTGTATTATTAATTAAACTTTTTTTCCAAATCGAAATAGTACATATATAAACGTGTTTCTGTTGAACTGGATCATCTTATCCAGTGTTTATGTATGTTACAAATTCCAATAACGTCACAACTTCCACAAATGATAACTAATAAAATAAAAAGGATGGAATAAAGTTTTATTTCCAGTAATAGTTTTAGTATTTTGAACAATTAGTTATCTTGTTTAGATAGGTAACTGTTTATATCCTTCATAATATGAAATATCAATCCTAGTTTTCAAACAAATCGTTAGATAAGAAGCAAGTTCAGGAGTGTACCTGTGGCTGTTTACAGCCGTTATTTCTGTTTTTCGTTGGTGTCTACTACTGTCTATCATTAATTATTACTACACATATTCTAAGACGGTATTATCGACATATGACGTATTATTTTCTTTACAGTTGCTACCATTCTTGGTTATGGATAAGCTTACATTCTTACCTGGTCTACCCGGATTGTTTGTGGCCAGTCTTTTCAGTGCCTCTCTCAGGTAAGCTGTGACATTTGTAATTTTATTCTGCTTCTACCTACATATTATCACACCACTGAAACCAATATCTACCCAGAAATTATTGCATTTTTGATCTTTAATGCTTTTTTATTGGTATGTTCCGAATCTGATTGTATTTGATGCACGTGGAATTCGGGATAAAGTTATTTCACCCATGTTGCTTTGTGACATATTTACTGTACCTGGGGTTAAAAGAAGCGTCTATGTATCGATCTATGTAACCTTTTGTATCGTTAAACAGTTGTTCATCTGGTGAATTGTCTCTATCGAAAGGCTAAACCAACTTATCATTCATGCAAAGCCAAATATGGTTTCTTTTTGGCAGTTGAAATCTTTTCCCTAGAGTAAACAAATTATACGTACAATCTGAACACATGTGGAATATCATTGCAAAGTTTGCACCACATTTAGTTTTATATGAAATAAAAAGGAATCATTTCTTATTACGAGAATTTAATTTATATTGTAAAATTAAAATGTAACCATTATATCGATCAATCAGCGTTGAATCGCAACAATTACTATGCATTATTACTTTATTCTCTAGTGTATTCATGTACATAAACGTTATAGAGAGAAATTGGTTATTTGCATGTCTGATAATGGTGGACATTGATATACTGTTTCAGATCATATCTAAGCATTTTTGTGATATGTATTGTACAAACACTGTGAGCTTATTACATATGTGACTGGACTTTTCATCATTTTATAAGTTTATGTTTTATCAGATAGTAAAACGCACACACATATATACATATATATTGCTGATTATATAACATTGAACCAATATAATTGTTTCATATTAAAACGACAATATACTTACAGTTCTATCTCATCTGGACTGAATGCCCTTGCCATTGTTATATTAGAAGATATACTAAAGATATACTGGCGGCATAACGGGGGAGAACCATTACCAGTTGTCCAGGGACGTATTGCTAAAGTGTTGGGTAAGCTTCTAGCAAAGTAATTCTAAATAATGTCGATCTTATAAATGAATTAATTCAATTGTCTCAAACGAAATGTTTATTTATCATATTTTATTATCTTTATTGAGATAACATTGGGTTGAATCTACGACAGTGTTATTTTGAACCGTGCCTTTCGTTGCGTTATCACAATGATAATAATTGATTTCTTAAACAATAACTAAATATGTATGGTCGTAAAAGCTAAAAGTACCTGTTTGCAAAAAACTGAAAAGTGATTAATTTTATTCAGGATTTATATGTGGAGGAATGGTGATTGGCATTGCGTTTCTCTCCCAGTTTCTCGGACAAACTGTTCTTCAGGTAAAATGCAAAGATGCCTTGTGATGTCACGTCATGCCATCGTCTTGGTGCTGAAATAAGTCCCATTTAAATTCGCATTTTCTTCTTCTTGGGAAAACACAGTGGTAACGCTGAATTCTTTTACTATGGATTTATGGTAATGAATAGAAAGCACGTGTCATTTTAAACTCAATTATCACGTCCAATAATTTGAAATAATATTCTCATGGAGGCTTAGGTAATACCAAATTATTGAATCCATATGTTAAATATAATAAAAATAAATATGGGCACCAATATAAGACCTTGTTTATCATATAAACATTCCTTTAAAGTATCGTTTACTCAAATTGTATTTCAGATTGTTTATTTTCTGTCGATCTTTCGCAGATTATGCTTAGTATATTCGGCATGGTGGGAGGTCCTCTGCTAGGATTGTTTCTCAACGGGATTTTTCTACCCTGGGTAAATTCGGCGGTAAGTATACACAGACAAAAACTGTTAATTGTCTTACAATTACTGGGTATTGGATCTGTAACGTTTTGTGTACAGTCCTATCTTTCTTTAATGATTATTGAAAAGAACAGCGCTGTTTAAAATGTCATTGTTGAAAAGAATGTTAACAGATATTGTAAGCTATTTCTAAACGAATTAATTTGACAGCTTGTATGGAAGACATATCGCTATGTATTGAATGATCTCTTCTTGAAAATGATTAATTGTACTATTCCTGTCTAAATGTACAATCACAAATTGTGTAGAATGGGACGGAGTTTTACAGTCAGGTACGATAAGATTTTGCGATTGTTTGCTACATCGGTGATATTATAATAATGAAGCATTGAAATATTGCACTTACCATTGGATACGAATCATTATTGTATATCACGTGCATGGAATCCCGAAATATTGTATTGTGCACGGCCTATTGCAAATTGGTTTTCAAAAAGAACAAAGAAAATACGGAAACTTAACTCATGCTTTAATTCGAATGAACCATGACAAAAGAAGAACAAAAGGAAGAATTTTAGACATCTTACAAAGCATGAGGAGAATATAAATCCTGGCCAATACAAGTAATTCAACGATCCCAAATGAGAATTAAATACCATAAAACCAATCACTTAATGTAAAATCATGAATTACACCGGCATTGATTTTTACGTTTATTTAAAAAGCGATCATTTGTTTTTGTCAACGTTATCATTTTATTCTAAACCTCATTACTACAGGGAGCGTTTTGTGGACTTGTCTGCAGTGCTGTATTGACATTCTGGGTGGGTGTCGGAGGTTCTGTAATATTACCAATACCTCCGATAAAGAAAGTTTCAGCGTCTATATGTCAACACTTCCAGCGAAACTGTACGTCATCAGCTGATAATCAGAACACAGCAACACTTTACAGTACCATGACACCTATTTCAACAATATATTACAACACTTCGACAGAGATACCTACAGCAGCTACACCAAATGGACAGGATTTGTAAGTTTTAATTGACTTTCATCAACAATTCGTAGGATTTAGTGTCATATGTGCGCTCGTTCATTTGTTAGATTAAACGTTTAGTAATCTTACCTTGTATTTCAAAATGAACATCATTACAAGCGATTGACTGCCTCATGTGATATGAATGACATGCAATATGTAAAGATGAAACCGAATACCATCCCAACGAATTATGGCATAAATCAAAAATATTTCCAAGCCCTATTTTTCATTATTAAATTGATTTACATGATCAAAAAGCCCATTTTTGTGCACTTTGTTTCTATTCTCTATCGGTCCTCATACATTTTAATGACACGTGTTTGTATTTATTTTCCTATGTATGTCCTTATCTAGGTGGATTTACCATATCTCCTACTTATGGTATGCCTTATTCGCCGTGTTGATATCTCTCTTCGTTGGAACTGTCGTTACACTTCTGTCAAATTTCTGCACTGGTAAGATCATCACACTTTCTTTTCTTTCTTTGTTTTAAAGCAGTGCCTGATAACGATGGCATGCAAAATATGAAATCAGTGTCAAATTCAACACCAAAGCTGGATACCAATCTAATTCACGTCATCACTGAATATGCATAACATAGATAAGAGCAGCTGCAGCAGCAACAACAACAATAACAAATTAATGAATAAATAATGATAATAAAAATAAGAAAAAAAAAAAAACAACAACAAAACACAAATACAGCAAAACGCCCCACTCTTTCGGAAACAAACATCTGTCTTTGTGAAATATATTTGATATCGATCGATCGCATTTCAACTTGATGAATGAAATGGGGAAAAAAATAGTAAACTGTAAATGTGAATTTCTAATTACCTTTATTTCAGATTTGAACCGTCCTGAAGACTTGGACAAAGAATTGGTACATCCAGTTTCTGACAGAGTATGCTGTTACCCTGCTTTATCATGTCAAAAGGTTAATCGTCTGACGAAACCAGTAAGTCGTCACTTATGTATACAAGTACTGGAAGATATATGCTACACTGTCATGTCTATTGAGGAATCACCTGTGTAAGTGGTGTGATTAGGGTTTGATCTAGAAGGAAGATCACGGTTGTAGGATATTCGCACTATCAGTGTTTTCCACTTATCTCCCTTGTCATTTTCAAATGCAGTATTTACGGATAAAAGAGACCTAAACATTGTAGGATGTATGTTTCACCGCTGTAAACGTGGTAGGCGTTCGAAGTTTTCAAGGAAACATAAATCGATTTGCTGCTTGTAACATTTCCGTTATCCCTGATGATGAGTTTATGATCTATAAATAGGACACTATAACATTGTTATCGATAAAACAATAGAAGTATGGATGACGTAGCATTTGACCTGTCCATTGTAGAATGGTTTTATCAATAATTCTAGAATGATATATGATATTTTGAATCAGTTCAGTATAATATGGTTATCATGAAACTGATTTCTTCTTTTCAGCCTTCACAGTTTTACGAATCCTCATCGAAAAAGACCGAGGCATACACATATGACGGACCGTATACTGTTACAAACGGAGATCTCGAACTTCAGCCAAACGTACAAATGACACAAACACGATATAGGGACACATCACGTCAGACTCATGAAGCCCCTGGCTATCACGAAAACGGTCTGATGCCTGACAACGATGACGATCTAACAAAGTTGTAAATGTTTACACTAATCATTTTAAAATATGACATTAAAAAATCATATGTAATTTATGATGATTTACTCATTGTGTTACGGATAAAATTTTCTTTCCACTAAGCAGTTTACGTACATCTACTTAAAATAGAATGATATGTTTCAATTGATTTAACTCAGGCTTTCTAAATAAGGAAGTACATTGTATGCAATAGATGATAATATTATAGAATGTATATTTGACGCATAGGTTGAAATCATACTTTAATATTATACTTTACTTTAATGCTGATTAGTTGAAAACTTAACTAATTCTATTATCTTTTCAGAGGATAATTTGACTACATGTAGTCGTTATTCGTGCCAATCATCTTGAATTTGATGTTCAGATCTGTATATATGACATAAATCAAATTAAAACGATATGTGACGCGTAATGCATTCGCATGTCCGATGCATCACTTCTACATTACGCTAAGAACAAACTAGAAAATAAATATGCTGATGTACATAGGTTTGTAAGCACAATGTGATTTAGATTAAATTTATTTTGCTCAAAAGTTTGTTTTCCTTATTTTGTTTCAGAATTGTTTTAGACATGCATCATCTATATAATTTATTTAAAATAATCAGAAACTTTACTAGTTATATTCTTTGATTGTGAATTAAGTATCTCTGGTCACGTGTTTGTGAGCCGTGTAAGTGTTGATGACTAAATTTGGATTCAATGGCATAAGTGTACCACCCGGTAAGATTGGTGATCCTGTAGCGGTACGTTTTTGTTGAAGTTGGTATGTCATAGTAATTATGTCAGCTTATTTAATGCAACTTTTCATCGTCATCATTTCATTTTTGAAAACAATGAGTTAAAATAGAAAAAAAATAATTGAATTATTTCCCCAGTGAAACAGTTTTCATATTGCTTGACACAATGGTACTGTATTGAGATTAGCAGTCAGTGAGAGTTGCTTCCCTTCTACCATATGGCATGCTGAAACAGTACTTGAATAGGAAACATACGGTAAACCAACATATCATTTATTTCAGAAGTAATGTCGGTCCATATTGTTTTTCAGATATACAACATATCTTTCATAGTATATCAAATATCTTGATTGGATAAATAATATATAAGATATCTTACATACTATGTGATATATGTAACTCAATTATCTGATGTATGAAGATTACGAAATTTACGAGGCTGTTTGACTTTTCTTTTGATCACTTTCGATAGTGGCCTCTTAGACTTCAAACTTTGCGCACTTAGCATCACTGACAAGTCCTAGAAGGACGAAACAGATGTTTGATGTAGCATCACTGACAAGTCCTAGAAGGACGAAACAGCTGTATGATGTATCATCACTGACGTGTCCTAGAAGGACGAAATAAATGTTTGATGTAACATCACTAACGTGTCCTAGAAGGACGAAACAGATGTTTGATGTAGCATCACTGACGAGTCCTAGAAGGACGAAACAGATGTTTGAAGTAGCATCACTGACGAGTCCTAGAAGGACGAAACACATGTTTGATGTATCATCACTGACGTGTCCTAGAAGGACGAAACAGATGTTTGATGTATCATCACTGACAAGTCCTTGAAGGACGATACAGCTATGTGATGTAGCATCACTGACGAGTCCTAGAAGGACGAAACAGATGTTTAATGTATCATCACTGACGAGTCCTAAAAGGACGAAACAGATGTTTGATGTATCATCACTGACGAGTCCTAGAAGGACGAAACAGCTATGTGATGTATCATCACTGACGAGTCCTAGAAGGACGAAACAGCTATGTGTCGTAGCATCACTGACGAGACCTAGAAGGACGAAACCGCTGTATGATGTATCATCACTGACGAGTCCTAGAAGGACGAAACAGATGTTTGATGTATCATCACTGACAAGTCCTTTAAGGACGAAACAGCTATGTGATGTAGCATCACTGACGAGTCCTAGAAGGACGAAACAGATGTTTGATATATCATCACTGGACGAAACAGATGTTTGATATATCATCACTGACGAGTCCTAGAAGGACGAAACAGATGTTTGATATATCATCACTGACGAGTCCTAGAAGGACGAAACAGCTATGTGATGTATCATCACTGACGAGTCCTAGAAGGACGAAACAGATGTTTGATATATCATCACTGACGAGTCCTAGAAGGACGAAACAGATGTTTGATATATCATCACTGACGAGTCCTAGAAGGACGAAACAGATGTTTGATATATCATCACTGACGAGTCCTAGAAGGACGAAATAGATGTATGATGTAGCATCACTGACGAGTCCTAGAAGGACGAAACAGATGTTTGATATATCATCACTGACGAGTCCTAGAAGGACGAAACAGTATCATCACTGACGAGTCCTAGAAGGACGAAACAGCTATGTGTCGTAGCATCACTGACGAGACCTAGAAGGACGAAACCGCTGTATGATGTATCATCACTGACGAGTCCTAGAAGGACGAAACAGCTATGTGATGTATCATCACTGACGAGTCCTAGATGGACGAAACAGATGTTTGATATATCATCACTGACGAGTCCTAGAAGGACGAAATAGATGTTTGATATATCATCACTGACGAGTCCTAGAAGGACGAAATAGATGTTTGATATATCATCACTGACGAGTCCTAGAAGGACGAAACAGATGTATGATGCAATTTGATTTATTGTTTGACTCTTGTGTATCTTACTCTAAAATTCTGAAAATGTGATAAACACTTGTGTGAATTTTATACTATCTTAGAAACTGCATCAGTTGCTATATAAGGTACACTATATTATATAAGATATTATATAAGATCATTTCAATTCCTATTTATCTATAACTTATACTAAATGACATATCTTACATGATGCGAAGTCCCGTCATATAAGATATCTTATGTAGGTAAGAAACTTATTTCAAACTTAAAAGAATTCTCGAGCACTGTTACATTATAGCTGAATGTGTCTTAAGACAAATCATGGCGATCGTTCAACACAATGAGAGTGCCTTTTATATTTGTTTTATGACCAATAACACGTTCTTAAGAACCATTTGTATGACTAAGGAACAGTATAATCCAAAACGATCTAGATAGATTTGGGGGGACATGAATCATTTGCATAACTCGCTAACAATTCCACGATAATATTTTTTCTGATGATGTTTTTGTGAAAGGTTTGATATTAGAAAGTAATAAAAAAGCTAAATAACGCATTTGTTGCTGGACTTCTTTTTCCAGTACAGGCGTCAGAATACATCTGTATGTGTGATAGGAAATAATTCATTCCATATGTTATTTAGTTTATTTCCTAAATAACTAATATTTTCTGTTATTTTCTCGGCACCTTATATGAATTAAAGTTTCATCTTCGTCTTGCAAAGTAAGGGTATGATACTTGGTGACAAAGAAAAAATCATATAAAAGTGCTTCGTACATCAATCTTTTATTTAACCATCTTTCAGTATTATTTTTAAGACTTTTAAGTTTTGATTGAGAATATGCTTTATTATTTTGCCATTTTCACCGAAATAGACAGTTTTTCGACGATCAAGAAACCAGCTGGCGATATGTTAATTTTGGGTCCTTAAAATTCCGGAAAAGTGGTCACAAGGTTGGAATTCACGAATATAACATCTGTGATTTGTAGTGATGGCGTGAAATCTATATACGCAAGAGGCTTACCTGAACAACCAGAAAACTTTGAAATTGTTGACGCTATTAACCGAATCACACCGTCAACTACGCCATCAAAAAGAAGTCCATTGTCAAAATCATTGACGTGATAAACCGAATCACTCCGTCAACTACGCTGTCAAAAATGTAGTCTTCGAGCGAAATTGTTGACGCTATTGATCGAATCAATCATTCAACTATGCCGTCAAAAATGTTGTTCCTGAGCACAATTTCTGCAAAACGTCATATAGGTTGCCCGATTTCAGCCTTTTACTTACAACTATAGATAAAAAGTATATCAAAAAGACGAAAGTACAAAATATTATGTTGGAATTATATATATATATATATATATATATATATATATATATTATATTTAATTATATCTTACTTCCGGTCAAAACATCAGCGTAGGACATCCTAAGTTGTGAATATTTCGTATTGTCGAGAATCAATGTGGCTTTTCGTGAGATCTGATGGCCATGAAAAAGGCCGTTTGGTAAAGTAATGCAGTTTTCATATTGCTAGACACGATACAGCTGTAAGGAGTTCCTCAATAAAATTCTATTTTTTAGAGTTGCTTCCCTTCTACCAGACGACATGATAAAACAGTTAATGAATGGGAGATTATTCCATGCAGAGCAGTCAAATTCATTTTCCTCGCTATCGCTTTCATGTAGCTCGTAAATATACGATGCATTTGGCTTAGTAGCGAGATTGTAAGTGTTAAATATTCACTACTATTTATGAACTTTGCAAACCAGTTTTGTCGTTGTTAATTAAAAAAACTATCTAATGTATTATCTTTGTCCTTTAATTAATTTTGGCGTTATTGCCGATTCTCACACAGTTCTATCTGTAAATTTTGTCTCAAGTTAAAAAAGGACAGTGTTTACTTTTTGAGTATAATAAGTAGTGACGGCACATTAACGAGATAACTAAATGCTATGATACACTGGGACGTGTCTGGATAATCTAATCATGTATCTGGGATAAACACTTTCATGCTAGCAATGCAATATTCAGAAAGTTGTAAATGCCGACTGAAAAAATCTAATATTTTTCACATAGAACAAGAAAACAATTTCGCTTCGTCCTCCTCTAGTAGTAAGAAACAATCAGACAGTTAATTTCTTTTAGTGAAAACCATAGCAATGTACTGTACTGCTAACTGACAAGTATTCCCACAATGTACAGTGCATTCAGAGCATTTCTCCTGGTTGATTCTGGCATATTTAAGCTGTCTGTACCCTACGTAGGTGCAAGAACTTTAAAGCATGCCTCAGTTGACAAGACTTTTACAATTTATTGGCATTTTACGGAAGACCTATGTGCA